TCCCTCAACACAGGTGTTGCAAGTTGACACTAAAGCTACCCGCACAGTTGACCAACCATCACAGATGACACAGGCCTAAATGAAAAGTTTAAGGATATGTATTAAAATTATTATGGAGACTTCTCATGACTGAAGAACTTTAGTTGGAATTTATAAACAATATAAAAATTGGGAATTTTCCTGAAGATTTCAACAATTTTTAACATAAATATAGTAACAATTAGGCAGGTAAATTCATAGAAAGCAAGAGAAGGGGTTATTTCTGTGGTAACGAGTATTGGGAGGACAGTAGTAGAACTTTTTAACTGGTGAAATATTTAAGGAAGAAAAGAATAGCTTTGGGGCTGGAGAGATGGCTCAGTGGTTAAGAGCATATACTGCTCTTCCAGAGGACCCATGTTCAACTTCCAGCGGCCATATCAGACAGTTAACAACCACCTGTAACTCCAGTCCTTGGGGAATCCAACACCTCTGGCTTCTTCAGGCACCTGCATGCATATGCACATACCCACACACAGAGACAGACAGACAGACAGACAGACAGACACACACACACATAAATAAAAATAAATTAAAAAAAAAGAAAAAAGAAAAAAAGAAAGAAGCTAGCTCTGAACAATAAAAGGAGGGACTATAAATAACTCTACAGTATTAAGCCTGACATAGGATAGTAATTAAAAAGTAAGACAGTCCAAGAAAGAAACGAATGCATTTTTTGAAAGTTTTTCTCACCATAGACACAATTTGGAGCAAAGATGGGCAATCTGGATCTTGGAAAAGTGCCTTTTGAGATTGATGCCATCACACTGGTTGAGGCTTAGGAACAGAAGACAACAGTGTGACGGTTGATAGAGATAAGAATGGTTCAAGAATATAATCTTAAGAAGGCCATAGTTAGCAAACAGAACAAGTTATCAGGCTTGTAGGAGAAAAACTGAGATCATTAAAGTCAAGGATGGCATGGTAGCATGTCGAAGAATGGAACAGAAAATAGGAGGAGATGTAAGACAAGTGAGACCAATAAAGCATATTGAGCATGGTTAGGGAGAGCAATGAGGACCTTGGTCAATGCTGAAGGAGAAAAGAAGACTTACATTAGCTAAGCTCCTTTCTACAACCTAGCTCTTAGTCCTTAGAGCTCCAGGATAACTAAAGATATGTGGATTAAGAAAACTTTTGTTTTAATCCCAGTAGATATACTCCCAGTAGGAATCTTGGCAGAAAGAAACAGAGACCAGCACAAGTTGGGTGGGGCTCCTGGCAGTTCTTGATTAACAGCCAACATAAAGAAAACAGAGCAAGAAGCCCAGTGACAAGACATAAGGAAATTTGTAGGAAAGCAGTGTGGGATTCAAGACTATTGCAAAATCGTTATTTGGTCTCAGTCAAAAGAGAAACAGAAAAAGATGAATTTAAAAGATAACGTCATACAAGGCCTTCTTGAAATTTTTTCCAACCAGTTTTTTTTTTTCTGCTAATATTTCACTGCTGAAGGGATGGGCGAAAGTGGAACTCATCCAGTGGAAAACTGTCATTAAATTTTCATACTTTTTTGAAAGGAGTAGAGAGCAGGTTTCCAAAAGCCCTCCAAACTAGTGGCTGGAACTTTGGTCCAGTACTTTTTCAAGTCCTATTCTGACCCAAGCTTGGTTTCAAATAGCCAATCAATATATAAAATGGGAGATGTTCAATTTGTGTTCACTGAACTAGCTTGAAGATAATTAAGTTGCAAACTAGAACCAATTAAGAATCAACTCATTCAGTCTTGAAGTGAAGCCCTCATTTGTGGACTTGAGATTTCTTTTTGGTTGTATTTGGCAAGAATGGTGGGACAGGGTGTGGAATTTATTCAACTACAAAAGTCCCTTGAAATTCCCTGCAATTTTATCAAATACTGAAAGTTTAGACACATAAATGTTTATGAAATCTAGAAAATTACAATCTTGGTCACTCTCGAAAATGACTAAATGGGGTTTTCTTATTCCTAAGGAGGAGGCTTCACAGATGAATAAATTAACTTGTTTCCAATGTTTTTCCAAGAATTCTGTTTTGTGTTCTCTTATTCCTCATAGTCTAGCTGAGAGTCTAATGTTAGATCTGTGGATATCCTTTTATTTTTACATCCACATATATTTTACAAATTGAGAATAAGATACAGTGCAATCATTTCAAGTAGGGAATATGAAGTAAAAAGTTATACATGAAGTAAAAAAAAATTAGTGTGTCAAAATATTTTGAAATCTTGCTAGGAATATATTGGAAATGACTTGCTTATTTTTCACCTTCCAGAAGAAATAGCATTTGTTAGTCACATATGGACACAGTGTATTCTTATTTCAGGAAATATCAAAGTCATATATGCTCAAAGATTAGCAGTTTTTAGATGTCAAACAGATGAATTTATCCCAAATCATTGTACTTCAATATACTCACAGATTAAGCATATATTTGAACAAAGTGCTTTTAAATAAAAAGATATGTGGGAATAATATCTTAAATTTTAAGATAGAAACTGCCACACTGGGAAATGATAGTGACAGGCCAGTAACTCAAGTACAGTGAAAAGGATTCATAGTGCCAGGCATGGTGGCACACGCCTTTAGTGCCAGTACTTGGGAGACAGAGGTAGGCCAATCTCTGTGAGTTCTGTAGCCAGCCTTGTCTACATAGCGAGTTCCAGGCCAGCCTGGGCTACATAGTCAGACCCTGTCCCCCACAAACAAAAAGAGAAGAAAACAAACAAAACAAAAAAGAATTTACAGTAGCACAGTACACAGGCAGGAGTACACAGGTGGGTAATTCCAGCACTTGAGAAGTGGGTTTAGAATCAGAAGTTCAAGGTCATTCTCTGCTACAAAGCCAGTTCTAGACCAGTTTAGGCTACCTGAGACACGGTTGGGAAAAATTATTAGACACACTGTGGAAGAGTGCAGCTGGCAATACAGTAGGGAAAAGCATCTGTGCTTCAGGAGGCTCGCTAACGGGCTATCAGTGTTCCAATGTTATGGTGCCTTGGTTGTTTAGGTCTTGCTCCATGGGACAAGTATGTGTGGCTCATATCTGGTTGGGTAGGCAAACACCTTTTTATTGAGAAATAAGTTCTGCACCGTGACTTGTTTCTTCTTGAGATTATCTCTGCAAGGCAGCGTGGGTTACTAGGGGTCAAACTCCTGAAGGTCTGGGTCTTCACATTAAAGAGTGGAATTCTCTATAGAAGTGTCATAACAGCCTAAGACTGATTACATCCAGGCTGGTTATAGCCAGGTCTTTCTGATCCTGCTTGGAGGCCGCAGTGGCCTTGCTCTGATCCCAAACAACCTTGTCCTGAAGTTAAACTAGCTCAGCACAGCTGTCTGTTGCGTACACAGGCGCATCTGTGGAAACATCTATTTTTTTTAAGCTAGGTGAAAAATTTTATAATAGACCCATTGCCCTAATAAATTAGATGTCACATCTTGAGGCTTGAGAAGTGTGGGATTCAGTTTGAGTGGGCATTTGGAGTTACTGTCAATATGCATAACTCCACTAGATGTCATAAACAACAACAGTTTGCATAGAGAATCAGTGCTAAGTGTAAGAAACAGGCTAATGGCCTTTATTGCTTAGCACATTTACTCTAACAGATATCTCCTTAGCAATCTCCATACTATGTGGAACTGGAATTCTTCTTTGGAAACCATGGATGACTGCATGGTACACAAACTCTAAAGATAGTGATTGAAATTTTGTATATGTACCATTTCTGGGGTGAAAATCCCACTCCTTGTAAATTCTCTGAAAGGCTAAAGAAGACTGCTTAGTGCATCACATTAAATCTATGGACTGCATCAGTAGAATCCCGTACTTTGCTAGCATTATTGCTGGTACAGAAATAAAGAGCCCTTCACCACAGTATTAAGCCAAAAAGGTAGGCTTTCTTGTCAAACAATACGGTACACTTACTCAACTCTGTGCTGGTGTTTGGCTTCATTTTGTACTCAAGTTAACAGAGTTTCACATTGTGCTTTAATCTTATCAAAGACTCCTAAAGTAAACAATAGTGCAGTATGAGAAACCTCCATTGTGTAACTTTTGCTCCTGCTGTCTTGAAAATACCAAGTGTCATTTTCTTAAAAACTCAAATAACCATGACTGAATACACGATTGGAGCGGCCAAATTTTTGTTACTGGAGAAAGTAGCGCTATTTGACAATGCACATCCATGAGGGCTTCTGTTTATCACCAGATACTATAATTTTCATTTTCCCGAGTCTCAAAACCGAAAGGGACAAAACTCTGCCTAGATGAAACTTCCGAAATGCGCCTGAGATGGGGCCCCCCACGGAAAGAGAGCATTTTTTTTTCCAGCGCTAAGCCTTGCCTCTCCTAAGGAACGATGCCCACCCACCGAGCCCAGCTGGCGCTGCTTAACCACGTGCGCGCGCCCTGCCCTGCCCGCGAGGATCAGACGTCGGAGTAGGACACCGCCTACCCAGGTTTTGGCTCCAGGCCACGCCAGGGGTGGGGGTCGCGAGCGCGAGGGGAGGAGGGGCGGATCCGCCCCGCCCCGCCCCTACCCGGAGCGGCGCCCACGTGCCCAGCCAGCCCTCTGCAGAGGGCACTTCTGTGTGGGCAGACCAGCGAGGCGGCTGCCGCTCCTCAGCCTGCTCCAGCCGAGGTCCCCAGCGCCGCAGCCGCTCGCCCGCCA